TGAACATTCGTTTCCGTTGACGTTAAGATTGGGCGACGCCAATAGTTAAGACCGTATCTGCTTTATATACGATGCAATTATGACGCCAACGGAAACGAAAGCACAAAGGTATCGGCCTTCTACAAATATTTATAAAATAAATAAAGATGTAGTCGTTCGTTACTTTGAAACCTAACAACTTAACTCTAAACAATTATCCGTGGCTTCTGTATAAATCTAGAAACCCTCCAGTTTAATGGCTTTGCAAGCGCGGTTTTGATGCGCCCCTTGTTAAAATTCTCAATTTTTTGCTCGACAAAAATATAGAAAATTCCTTTGGAACGAGCTCAAAGGTCCCGGGAAGGATGTCTCCGATTATCGGGCGTCATTACGGCGGTACGGTGGTGCGAGGATACGACAGTCTTTACAAGTATGAATTCAGTTATAGAAGTCATTATGACCTTTGGCAATAAAAGAATATTTCTTAACAAGAAGAATTACTTCTTGTTAAGAAATATTCTTCGTAGTCATAAGCTTAATAATAATAATTGCCTGCGATGTTGCATAATTGTAGTTTTAGACTGTTAAAGAAATACCTTGTTCTAGTTAAAAAAGTTTAATTATAAAGCTCGAAAACACGAATTCGAAGACGACCTTATAGAATTAAATATTAAGTTTTAATCTAATTGGGAAATTTTATATGCCTAGTATATGTCGCCTATTTCACTGTCTGTCGTTTTCTTATAAAGCGTAGTAAGTTTTGTAGCGCTCTGTAGTCTTTATACTCCGAAGTCGCTCGGTTGTCGCCCCACCGGCACCGTGGCAGGCTGGCTTCGATTTATTGGTTAATCTCTTCTCCATTAATTGCTCCTTGCCCCGGGGACCACTTTTGTTTCTATTCTTTTTAAATGCCTTACTTAATAATAGCTTCACTCGAAAATCGCAATTTATCGCCGTGCAAGTGGATTTTATCTAAGATTTATGATTGGTTTTGTTTGGTTAAAATGTACCTGGCTGCAGTTAGTGTTTATGAAGACAGACTTGCATCGATAATTGATCATTTATGAGTTTGCGTATACAAGGTATGCATTTTTTTACAAAAGTAAAATACAGGCATTACAATACTTACAAAGGACAATAACAAGAAGTTACAGTCTTTTTTATTTTTGTTTAAAGGCATAGGTCGACAAACGAGCTGAATCATCACCTGGTGGTAAGCAATTGGCGTTATAAGTCCGTTGTCAACCCAATGATATTATAAGTAAAAAGGTGTAATTAGGTTACAAGCGCTCAAAAAGGGATACATTAAAACGTCCCTAACTAGCCACACTTTTCATATTCTTCTCTTTTTCACTTGCGATTATTGAATCATGCCATCCCACTTTAACATGTATCATACGATTTATTCATGTGTGCATATGTGTGCCGTTTTTGAAAATCGAATGTTGTTTATGTAATCTATCTATACCATTTTACTTACCAATAATATCATTGTGTCAACCAAGTCTGATCTATTAATTGGGAATTTAAGCCTAACAATAATTCTATGTAGATATTTCTTCTCAATTTCATAAACCTATCATTCAAATTCAAAGAAAATTTCGAAACATCTTGTCAACAATCTATTCTGAATAGGATTAGCTTCAATAAACCAATAAGGATAAATCAGATACATTCAATAAATTATTGCCTCCGATATCATTATAGTTTCGTCATACTTTACGTACAGATTACGTAGAAACTCACAATTTCATCTTAACTGAATTTCCTACAAGAATCTTATCCTTTCTAAGATAAAACTAATTATGCTTATGCAAAGTAGTTTGTGTTTTTGTATGAGATAAAAAGGCAAACGATCACAATAGACGGATTTTTTGATGATAGGCAATTAACGCCGCCCATGGACCATCCGCAAAAGAGCTACAAGTGCATGGACAGCCTTTTCTGGGTTGTTAGGGATTTGAAGATTGGAAGGGAATTTGAAATAAGAACTGGGACTAAAGACTAAGGACTAACTAAGGACTGCTTATTTGTTTTCCAAATATAAATGTTGCATTTCATTTGTATATAGGTTAGATAGCGGTATGCTTTTTTAATGGTATAAGTCGGCAAACGAGCAGACGGATTACCTGATGGTGAGCAACCAGCGCCGCCCATAGACACCCGCAACACCAAAGGAGTTACGAGTGCGTTGCCAGCCTTTGAGGGATAGGGGTTGCGGATATAAGGATCGGGAAGGGATAGGGGAAGGGGAGGGATTGGGCCTCCGTTAACCTCATTCACACGGCGAAACACAACGCTGTGGGTTGTTTCACGCCGGTATTCTGTGAGGCCGTGGTATCACTCCGGTCAAGCCGACCCATCCGTGCCGAAGCTTGGCTCTCCCACACTTAATTATTTATTTGTAAGAGCAAAATCATCTAGTGGCCAGTCTCGCCCAGAGCGAGGCGAAAAGGAGTTTCAGACTTTTACAAACTATAAAACCTCCTTTCCTTCTTCCTGCTCAACTCTGTTATTTTGATCATACGGGCGAAGTTGGGCGTATATCTAGTAGTTTCCTTCATTATATTATAAAAGACAATATTCAAAACATTTTATTGAGTAAATCTATCGAGATAAAACATTGCGAGAGCTAGTTTCGTAACATTCAATGCGACAATTCATTGATTCTGGCAGGCGTTAAGTTTTAGACTTATTGAAAAGCTTGGAATTTAAATGCGGTGGTTGGTTTGTTGTGTGTGTGTGTGTGTAGGCTAAAACTTGATTTATTGTGATTTGTTTAGCAACTGAAATATGAGTACCGTGTACTATTTAAGTATTCATAGCTAGGAAATAATGAGGGTATTAACAATGGCTTTTAATCTTAATGAACCATTAACCCGGTGTTATATTCGTCAAATGTTATGTCAAACAGTTAGTGCTTTACATTACTTACAGTTTATAGACAATTCACTAAAATGTGTAACTGTTAAGCTTAGGGAAATTATTAACATTGTTGTTGCAATTTCTTCCTTATGTAAGGTTGTAAAAGAATCTATTTTTAAGGGTTAGGCTTATATGTATGCGCGTTTTGTTGTAAATTTTTGTTATTTTTGTATGTTATAAAACCACACAACCATAACATATCTACAATTTTAATTAGTTTTGTTTTATGCTAAGTTAGTTTATTTGAATTATCATAATAATATGAGGTATAAAGTGGAACGTTGTAGAATCAACGAAACTACACCTATATGTAAGAAAAAACAATAACAGCATTTGAAATACAAAACAAAAGTACAAATAAACATTACTAACATCTTCATAAGTGCATCGATTTGTCTCTAAATCAAGTAATGATGATCATCTACTTTAGTGAAAACTGAGTGAAACCTTTAATAATACAAGAAATTATTCCATCGTTTATCTGACAATAGGAGTTCATAACTTTATGAGGTTACCATCTTATTCCACATTTTGGAAGTCAAATCGTCTTCGGAACGAGCTGCGACATTCCCGGCAGTCTGCGAGAGCTATTTGCTAACGAAATGGCTCACATTTCATTCCAATTCGCAATTCGAAACCAGTCAGCATCTAGTCAGCGCCATCCGGAATTACTCGTATAATTCAATTGTGAGTTAAGCAGCCACACGGAGCTAACAATAGAAATGATTAGGAAAGCCGTAATTGTTAATTTATTTAGCAAACTTTTGGTTAACGTCAAATTTGATCACTGCGTTCAAACAAATTGTTGGTTTATTTCTTTGAATTGTTGACAACAAACTGTAGACTGGCCATTAAGTCGATTAAAGGCAAACTTTATTCAATTGTGAAATTCAAAGTTTATTGAACTTTGCTAAGGAAATCAACAGGTTAGTTGGTTTAAGCGAGTGTTAGAGATCATGATATTTTGGCGTATAGTGACACACAATCACACAACGCACTTTGATTAAACGCCCGAGGCTCGCCGCATTCATTCACTTCCTACGGACTGTAGATTCAACAAGCTGTAAACATTTCTCAGGCATGCAAATGTCACCGTCGCACGTGTACTACGTATCGCGAGAACTGAGTAATTTGTTGGTTATTTATCGTCGCACTCCCCTAGATGTATTTCGTAAGGCGGTGCGTTTAAATCGTGAAATTATACGGGCTTACGTGGGCGGGATATGACAATGCGCAAATGCATTGTTACACGGTGTGTGTTTCACTGCTTGTAGAAGGAAATAAGCGCTCAGTTTGCACGTAATTTATCCCTTAGCTATCATTATCGTTGGAAAAAGCATTATATTTCGTTAAATGTCAGACATAAAAGTCTTATCAATTTTTTCTCGACGCCCGACTTACTAAGAAATTCTATTAGTAAGTAAACATAACAAGAAAAGCAAATTGAAAGCCCTTTACCGAGAAGAAATAAAGTCAGAAGACATTTCAATACAATTCCTATTATATTTTTATTGTTCATCAAATAAATGTTTGCAATTTAATAAGAAATCGTTCTATGGGACCACGCGTCTCTGCACCAATTTCCTCAATTTATTGTAAGATATTTCTACCATCGACTTGTATTAAAAGCTAACGGGACTTAGACAATACTATTATCAAAATATGTGCCATTAACGACGCACAGTTATGTCCTCTTAAAATAAACACTAAAACGTTTTGATATAAAGCTAATGTGAAACGTTTAAGTGCTTGTTACAATTGTTATAGTTTTAAGTTGAAAAGTTAACTTAACGATGGGTTTAGTTGAAATTCTCTTTAGAATAATACCAGTTCTTGTATTCTCATTTTGATGGAGTGCTGAGCTCGGTACGTTCTTTCTTTTATGTAAAAGAATACTAAGGAAATACTATTTCCCATTAACATATCGATGCCTTATTTGAACGTATGCCAAGATTAGTTCGTGTTGCAGCAATTTCTCCATAGACATTACGTGATTGGTTTTACAAAAAGCTGCATTATCTTGCTACATTATTTCCACTATTCCACAAAGTCGTAAAATAAAGTATGAATGGAATTTGTTTATTAAGCAGACTTACCTGTTGATTTCTGTGTGTCGGGGCCAAAGCAGCGTTTCCAGCATCGTTGCTTATTCCTCATTCTTTGGGAGGCACGGCTACCGTTATTCTACTCCACCTGAAACAAAGAGAACCTTTGAGTACCTACGATTTCAAATGTGATAATTAATCAATTAGCATTTATTAGCGAAGTAGAAATTTCTCTTAGCAAACTTTGATTTTGAGTCTGCCTTCAATTAGCAAGGCACGAGAAGTGGAACACCGTTCCTCATTAGGAGAGCAGAGTGTAGCAAGAGGTAGATGGAAGATAACGCATTACGCATGCGCGGGCCATTGTCTTCGCGCCCAGATGCCTAGATAATGCGGCGAAAGCTCATAGTATATGCAACGATTTAGGAATTCTTATGTCACTTGACTCATAATTAATCGAGTGTGTGTATCAAAACGCTTTTGATATTATTAATTGATCTTTTGTTCTACATAGGGCGTAGCGTGTATTCATTGAATGTTTTCAATGGGTTTGTTATAATGGTAATGTCTATCATTTGTCTGTGTGCTTGGAGATGGAGATATACCTACATATGTTACGTAACTAGAAATCTGTTTTGTCCTTTTACTTCCAGCCGCTCTAATACTAAGTATATAAAAGTACATTTTATAATAATAACAATTTAAACTGATTCATTAGTAATAGTATTAGAAGTTATTCATTATTTTGTATAGTGTCTCATTATTTTACGTGTACACTAAAGCTGATTGCAAGTACCTTGCAAGCGCACGTGCCAAGCGGTCCAAACTGCGGCATACCTCACCAAACTTAGTCCAATAAATACGATTTTGGATATGCGTAATGAGAACTGTTGAAACAAAACTATGGTCAATGGGAGCCTACGTTTAGTAAACGCGGAACTTTCAGATTAGAAACTATTGAGCTGGCGAAAACGATGTTATTGTCAGTTTTACTACATTAGGAAGGGATTGTGTAAAAGAAGCTTAGTTTTTGTTTGTAAAACAGCTGTTTATATTGTGTAATATGTTGCAAAGGGCTAGCGCAATAAGGAGGAGGAATGGGAGAGTTTTAGTCAGTAAGAGCTTGACACTCCCTCTCGTCTTACTCTAGGCGAGTAACAAAATTATTTGATGATTTTCCTCCCACAAAAAAGGACAAAGAAGTGTTTCCTTTTTGTCCTCCGCAGATGGTATCTATTCTGAAATAGCTGTTTGAGATTTTCCTAATGTCAAACTTTTAAACAGTCGAGCTGTTATTGAATATAACCTTAGTTCCATTAAAACAAGTCTGATAGTACAATAAGATGTACTTTCAAAACAAGGATGATTATAATTATGAGACTTCCTAAGTTTTATCATAATCTAGACGGCTTTCAAAGAATACATGCATAAGTAGGTACTGAATGTACCTTGTATTTAACCCTACAACATCTTAATTTAAAGGCTGTCACTGTCACAAGCATAATGGCAAATAATTCGATATTTACCTGCGCTTTAAGGCCAAATAATTTTAAATCAAATTTACTTGAAACTGAGTCTTGGAAGTCTAAATAACAGTATTATTATCCAACAAAACCAATTACAAAGCTAAAATTATTGACATTTATTTATGTAACAGCTCGTAAATGTCCGCTAACATTCTGTTTAAGAGAAAGATGTGGATGTTGAACTTGGTCGATATCGTCACGATTTAGTCTTTCGTCGTTACCGCGATGTTATCGGGTACCAATGAATGCTGAGAGATATAATCTCTTAGCTAATTATTGCTTGGAACCGAGGTATGTTCAAAGTACAACTATCATTAGATTTATTAGTAGTACTTTACTATAGTACTTGCTGCATAATCTTGATATGGCAATGCGTTTTTTTGCACTATAGGTCGGCAAACGAGCAGACGGATTACCTGATTACCTGAGCAATCGGCGCCGCCCATGGACACCCGCAACATCAAATGAGTTACGAGTGCGTTGCAGGCTTTTTGGGGATAGGGGTTGCGGGTATAAGGATCGGGAAGGGTTAGGGGAAGAGAAGGGACTGGGCCTCCGGTAACCTCACTCACGCGGCGAAACACAACGTTGTGGTTGTTTCATGCCGGTTTTCTGTAAGGCCGTGGTATAACTCCGGTCGAGCCGACCCATTCGTGCCGAAGCATGGCTCTCCCACACTTGACACTCGCTTGCAAGTGAGCTATGTATTTGTAACTTGTAGTATTGAAAGTGTTCAATTGTAGACAATGGTTGTTTATAGTCGGGTAATATATAAGCTCGAAAAAACAAGGAATGGTGTGTGGTATAAATTGTGTGAAGAAACATCAATTAAAGTTTTGCTGTTTTTGGGATTATATAATGGCTTCGCATGTTGGACAAATAATATAATTCTTAGCTCCACCTCAGTAGTAGACAGAGTTATGAATTTATAAACGTAATAAAGTTGGTTCGAACAACCGCGCCTGCGACCACTATATCAACATGGCAGTTAAAGAAAAGTAACTACAGTTCCTATCTATAGTACTAAACATAGCCATGTAGTGTAAACAACTACAACTTTTTTAAGGTAAGTTTTTTCTCAGTCACTCTTCGTCTGGGAGGGAGTGTCAGACAGCTTCTGACTAAAAATCACTCCTTCTCCTACTTGAGGCAGATTGGTAAGACGTGCCATAGCCGGTTGGTCGTATGCTAGCATACGACCAACCGGACGCCATTGCCTGCTGAAAAAACACTCTTTACCCTGTGATCTCTGGTAAACCTAAAACTTTTCGTCTGCAATCATCAACGAGAGTCAAAAGTGTAAATTGGCATGACAAACTCACTACTTGAGAAGAGGTCAAGAGAGACAGAAGAGTTTCAATAATGTTATTTACTAAAAATATAATATTATCATACTAAACCTTTGCGACAAATTTATAACCTACAATTACGGAAAGAAATTCGATATAGACGTCGGAGTCCTTTAATGAAATTTGTTTTACACTATTCACAGTTTCACACAGAGCAAATCAAAGTATAGAGCAAAACATCCGATTACAACTATCGTTCTCATAATCCCGGTCATTGTTCCGAGTACTACGGATGTTCTATTTACCAAGCAAATGAAGCTAACGGTACTAGGAACAGGCACTTCAGCAAACAATTCTTATCTAACGTTAAAACTAAATAGTTACTTAGCAAAAACGTGCTACAGATTGTAGGAGTTACTAATGTCGTGTCGCAGTTTTGTTACAGAAAAACTACGGGACAATATAAGAACTTAATTAAATAATTACAGTTTTAAGAAAACTCAAAGATATTGGTAAAGTTTTAAGAAAGAAAGGTAACGTTATTGAGCCTAGTGTTTAACCCTTCGCAGGAGGATAGGTTCATATGCTTTTGGCTAAGAAAGTCACAAATGATGATGTCACTGGCAAAACTACAACGTACAAAATTATTAGTGGAATATCGCGAAAATTACCCTCTTTTTTAAGTAATATTTATTTCTGCTGCTGCAAGTACATCGGAAGTGTTTTTACGTTCTGGTTCTAAAATAAAACAAATAAACATCTGAATTTATTTCGGAGTTTCTTTCTTTTCCTTCAATTGGTTGATAAAATGTCTGGTAGAAGAGCAAAAATAATTAATCAAAGATAATTAGATCCAAATGAAATTTAAAAGCTTTTAATTAGAAACTTTTAATCGTTGAAATTTGGGGTTGTTCACTGATTGACAAAGCTGCAAATTGAGATTTCTATTGCCTCAGTAAGCAACCGCTTAAATATTTTTTAGCTAATTCTACCGTTGCACGCAGTTGTACTACTGCATTTAATTGCTACATGGGTTCCACGTGAAGGCGTGTCATTTGTTCGTATTTTGTATGGTTATAATTCGAAGTGTTTATTGTGATGTAAGTAAGCATGTTGTCCGATTGTAACCGTTCGTTTAATTACTCACGACATGGTTATTAAACAGTGAAGCTAGACAGTAAACAAATTATTTATGTCATACGTGTTTATTAATTAGATATTTTTTTTGGTGAGAAGTGCTTTTTGGAAAAAAATATAGGGTATCAGACTGCCTGCTATAGTGCTACCTAAGGTAGAATGTGCGTAGGCAGCATTTACTTAACCGTTTTGTCTCATTGGCTTTTTATAGAAATAGAGCTCCTCCATTCTTGTTCCAGAGTCCATTTTATCATTGTTTGGTATCGAATATTAATATTATTGTTATATTCATTTCCATCCTTTATTACATTCTGTTCGTATTAAGGAGCCATGTCGAACATCAATCGGGGTTGCGGGTTTAGCGCAATAATGTAACGCGCCTTTGCCTGAAGCTGGAGAAGGAACAAGGTAATTTTTAGTTTGTAAGAGACAATCCCTCTCGGGCATCCCAAAGAGTAATATTGTCATACCCTTCATAAAAAAATATACCGAAAAACTGTCACTCCACTTAAGCTTTCTAATTTATGTGATATATACATATGAAGTAACAAACGAGTATGTATTCTGTGCCCAGAGCCTGAAGGTACGATTTCGCAATAGGTAGTAAGAAATATCAGATCTATGTCTGCTTGTCAAGTCAGATCTCAACAGTCATTAGGAGGAATGGTTTCAACCAACCATGATCCTTTGACCCTTTGCTAACCTAACACCATTCATTATGATGATTATCACTAGAAGTACTTCTAAAATGATTAACAATTGAGTTCTAAAACTCGATTGAAATAAGTATCAAAAATATGCAATTTGTGTTCAAAATAAAATAATATAGGTAGGTATATTTTTTTAAATATATATTTAGAGATTTAATGTCAATACTATTATATACCAGACATCTTTTAGGTAGTGTCGAAAAAAATCCGTTTAAATAGCTATGACATTCTTGTTGTTGTTATTATCACTACATAGTATAAAACAAAGTTGCTTTCTCTGTCCCTATATCCCTATGTATGCTTAAATCTTTAAAACTACGCAACGCATTTTAATGTGATATTTTTAATAATAATATATAAAGTGAAGCTTTTTAATTTTTTGAGTATAATTAGGTATGTATAATGTTACAAGAACTCAAAAAGTGTTATAGATATTATTATAATCAAAAATATTCCAACAGAATTTTAGTCTACTTCGTTTAATAA